GTTTTTTTTTGTTTTTTCGGCTGAGCAATGTTTTGAGGAAAAATGGTTACGGTGTAGGAGAATGATTGAGTGTTTTGGCAGCTGACTGGCATGTTTGACTTTTAACCAAGAGTGATTGGACTGCATAAATGATTTGATTTATACATATTCAGAAAGTTTACGGGCATTATATTAAATGTGGTTGAGGAACTTTAATGTGATGTTACATTTGAAAACTTTTTTTAAAAGAATTTAGTGGCATGTGTGGAGCACTTTGTACCAAAGGTAAAAAGCACAATGCTGGAAACATATTAGTAATATTGCTCAGCCCCTAATATAAACAGAAGCATTAACACATCTGGTTACAGACAGATTTCTTGGCAAAAGTAAATCTACTATATAGATACAAATCTCGTAATTGGATGATTATGATTGATATATTTCATACATACAGTGACAATTTTCTGGATTTCTTGATAAATAACCAGATGGGTCTGTTTTCTGGTTTGATCCAGTGATTTCCGGATACCTACCAGATCAGGTACAGTACCATACTTATCGCACATTTCATTCAACAGTTGATTTCAACAGCCTTCCACATATTCATGCCCGCCATGTATATCTCAATCATACATTACCATAATTATAGCAAGTAATACGAGCCAGAAAACAAAAACTATAAAAAAGCCTTGTTTTATGCTTTTAACGATACACACACACACACACACACACACACACACACACACACACACACACACACACACACACACACCACACACACACACACAACACAACACACACACACACAGAGAACAGGATCATCGTTAAACTGTAACTCCTTAACCAAAACAATGACAGCAGTTTGATCCAACAGATATTGATACTGTTGAGACGATGACACCAAAAAGCCTAAACCGTCCCCTAAAACAATTTGCGGCACTTCATTCAATTGAACATTGCTGGTACTTGCTTAGCGGCTTTAGATGGCTCTTTTAGGCATTAACATGAACTCTTACCGTTTGGCGGCACTTGTGGTGGTTGGTGGTGTAGTAGTAGTAGGTAGTAGTTGTTGGGAGTTTGTTGAACCTGCCAGAAAACATGAAGTTATCAGCGGTGTGTCAAGATTCCACATAGATAAACTTATCACTTGAATAAACTTATTGATCTATACATAAACTTAAACTAGTTTCTAGAACTATGACTCACAGACTCTGAAGGTACTTCAAACCTTCTCATATGTAAAGGCAATATTATATAATTTTGTGAAAGTTATTTGTTAAAAAGTCGGAGGACGGTGTTAGAAGACTTCAGATAAAATTTCATGGATTAAATCCATTTTCAGCTTTGGTGATTTCATAAACTTCATAAATTCAACAGCATTTTCAATATTAGGACCTTCACACTGAACCATCGCAGCTGAAACTACATGGGAGGGGGAAAAATAAAAACACTACTGATACATTGTTGGAGACCAGGCGTAAATTATTTCCTTTATTGAACATGTGACTGATTTTTCTCCATCGGTGTATAACCTTTTTGCAACTGTACTGTACAGCTTCTCCATTAGTTATAGACGCTTTGTTTGGACTAAAGGAGCCATTCTCAACTGTAGGTGTAGTAAGTCACCACTGCAAAATAAAAATTACATTAGTATGAAAATAGTTTTTATTAAGACTAAGTAAGACGTTTGACTTGAATTACGTTATTGATTTATACATAGGTTCTAGAAACTAGTTAAAGTCTATGACTCACAGACTCTGAAGGCTACTTCAAACCTTCTTCATATGTAAAGGCAATATTTATATAATTTTGTGAAAGTTATTTCTTAAAAACAGAGGACGTGTGTTAGAAGACTTCACATTAAAAATTCAGTATAAATCCATTTTCAGCTTGGGTGATTTCATAACTTCATAAATTCAATCAGCATTTTCAATATTAGGACCTTCACACTGAACCATTGCGGGCAAAGAACATTTAAAGTCTGTTGTCCAAAATAAGCTTTTCTTTTATCAGTCGCAGCTGAAACTACATTGGGAGGAAAAAATAAAAACACTTACTGATACATGTTGGAGGACCAGGCGTAAATATTCCTTTATCTGAACATGTGACTGATTTTTCTCCATCGAGTGTATAACCTTTTTGGCAACTGTACTGTACAGCTTCTCCATAGTTATAGGACGCTTTGTTTGGACTAAAGGAGCCATTCTCAACTGTAGGTGGTAGTTTACAAGTCACCACTGCAAAATAAAAATGATATTCGTATGAAAATAGAGTTTTTATTAAGACTAAGTAAGACGTTTCAAAAATCACAGAATAGTTTACTAGCTGGCTGGCTGTGATCAATTGCTGTTATTGGTCATTTGTTCATTGTTTTGTCATTTTATGGATTTATCCTGAATTTTTTATTTATATACTGTAGTGATTTCAAAATATAAATTATTAGTTATTAGTCATTTGAGCAAGAGCAAAAAATTGTGGAACTGTTTTTGGTACTTCCTGAATTTTAAAACATTAACCCTTTTTAATCAACTAGCAAAAGAAGAGAAACAATGAAAATATGATCTAAAAATTAACCACAGTAAATCTAATCTTATGTTATTAAGATAATGACAGGTTCACTTACATTTACAGACCAAAATCAAGTAGTACTTTTCATTTGACTTACGTTTACAACTAAGTGGAGGCAACCACTGACTGTTCATCTCACACCTCTGGGTATTCACTCCTGTCATCGTATATCCAGTTTTGCACTTGAATGTCACTGCAGCCAAGTGTCCATAAATGCGTTGTGAACCTTCTGTCAAGTCAGCATTTTCTACTATGGGATCACTGCAGCGAACCACTGCATACAAAAGAAAATGAGTACAAGAAATCAATACAATTGTGCAGGATAACCTTTTCCAGAGTATGTGAGTGCATCAGTGACAGCCGAGATTAAATTGAGAAACTGTTTGGAAAAGATTGGGGGAAAAAATGTAAAACTCTTACTGATACACGAGGGAGGAGCAGGCTCAAACGTTCTACTAACTGAACATACGGTTGAACTTGATCCATTGCGTGTGAAACCTGCTGCACAAGTGTACTGTACGACGTCTCTGTAGGAATAGGTTTCTCTGACTGGCTTGAAGATGCCATTTGCCACCGCAGGGGGCGTATCACAAATCACCACTGCAAAATAAAAATCACATCTATTAGAACGGAAACAGTTGTTTTTTTTATTTTTATTTTTATATTCATTTATCTGCCATGAATTAAACACACAATGATTACCAACCTTCACATGTAGGCCGCCTGCCAGCCCACCCTTGGTCTCCACAATATATTGTATCTCTACCAACCATATCAAAACTAATTAGAGAATTAAAAAAAAAAAGTTAGACTTTGGACAGGAAACATAATGGGTGCTGATATTTTTAAATAGTTTAAATACACTACACACAGTTATATATTAAAAATAAGTTCATTTAACATGAACCATCAGTGTTATCAGTTTATTACTAACCCCTCGTTACAAGTGAACACAGCTTTATCACCAAAGTCCGTCCCTTCGGGGTAATGAACATTTCCATTTTCCACTTCTTCAACGGAACCACAGTTCCTTCCTGAAATAAGAAAAATGAAATAAATAAAATGCATAATTTAATTTAATAAAATTCTGGATATCATTATGCACAAATGACAACAGACTGGTCACAAGATATTACCAGTCACTAATCTAAGAGTGTTGTGTTGTATATGTTGAAAGATAAGTAATTTACTAGAAGGCTCTAAATCAGAGGATGGAGAATAGAAATTGGCAATATTCACTCTCGCACTGCAGCCTGACAGGAGTCCAAACGCCTCCTTGACAAGTAATGATTGCAGACCCTCCTGCAGATATGTAGCCAACTTCACAGGCAAAAGTAACCTGGGTCCCATCTGGGAACGTTTCTAAAAGAATGTCTTTGTCCTTCAAAACCATGTTTGGTCCTCCAATAGGTCTGGCACAGTCTTGAGCTACATTGAAAATAAAGAAAGAGAACGGTGAACACTGAAAGTAAGGACAGGTTAACGCAAGACCGAACACCAGCTTGTGTGTAATAAAACATATGTGGCAAGCTTATCGGCACTGCCGCTCACCTTGAGCAGTAATGGCGAGGCCGAGACAGCACAGTAGGAAGCAAGTGACGCCCATGGCGGCAAGTCAAGTCAGCGTCTCTGGCAAAGATAAACAAAGAAGTGAGCAACAGAATAAGAGCATTTCCTTGGTTAAGATGCTTGATACTAGCGTTGACTCCTTTGAAGCAGGCCCTCTCCACGGAACACATTAGCTAGCTGTTAAATTACAGACATGTAACATCGAATTATTACTATAGTTTAGGTTAAAATACCCAATATCAGTAATAACAATAAATATTTAGTCTAAAATCTATGTTTCCTGGTCATGGCTAAATGCGCTCAGCCTTGATCTTTGTCTCGTAATGGAAAAAAAAAAAACATCACACCAAACTCTATTCAAAATCTAAATATTAGAGAACTATCGTGACACTGCGTACGTATCTATTCTTACCTAACGTTAATTTACAACTTGGCTGTAGCGACAGCTTCGACTGGCAAATTCGGCATATATTTAAATAAGATAAAGACCAAGATGCCAATACAGAAGTCGAATATCAGATCTCAAAACTAGGAGGTCACTCGCGTTGCTTCCTAATTTGCATTTTCCTCAATCTAACGATAAAACACTGCGGGCGTCACCGCATTAGTGAAACTAACGGCCTTTAACCCTAAATCTAACTTTAACTTAAATACAACATATGCCGAAATGTCCGGTAGGTCCTCATGGTGGGGGAAATGCGTTAGACTGTGTTCAACTGTGTGTCTACATTTGCTCATGTCAAATATATTACTAAATTCGTGAAATCGCAAAAGATCCATGGCTGCGTTAGCTGGCTATCAGTTAGCTCACGTCAACGTCCCGACAAAGTCACGTTAGTGAGTTATCGCCGTTCTGTTTGTGGTTAGTTTTGATAGCGCAGTTTGTTAAAGCAAAGAATCCATCTCTGACTTACCCAGTAAATGTGAAGAAAGTGAGTAATCCCTATGTCTTCCGCTACCTCCACAACGGATAAATAAAGCACGTTCTTGACGGCGGCGGTGTGTGTGGGAACAGGCGTGGCTCTATAAACAGTGACGCATTTCCTAAACCTTAAAGGCACCAGGTTTACAAATGAGTATACAACTACTTATTAACCCACAAATACAAACGAACCCAAATTTATATATTATAAATTTATATATTGACCCCCCCCCCACACACACAC